GCCGAGCTGGCCCCACGTCATATACCCCCGGATTTTCGTGTACCCCCCTGTCTACATACGTGGCCCCATATCCCCGCCGTATTCACGCAGACCGCCCAGCTGGCCCACGTCACATGATGCCTGTCTCGCCCTTGCTGGCAGTCATGATCCCTATTGGACACATGTTTTCCTCACGCCTCCCTTTTTCCAAGCCCTCTCTAGCCCCACTCCCCCACTTTAGCCTCTCTCACAGCATTCACGTATCTTCGTCCCTCACCTTAGTCATTTTTTCAGCAAACGCCCTCTCTCATTACCAGGGTCCGCAATGCCTAGCGCGGTTGATCTCGATGATGGCGTCAGTGGTGGGAAGAATCCAGGCTCCTGGTGCTCGCTAAGTGCCATGCCCTAACAACCCTGCTAGCATACTAGCAGAACATACCACACCACATCACATGCTACGAGTGGCCGCCATTTCCGCCACTGCTGCCGCTACTACGAGTGACGCCAATTCTGTTGGCTGCTGCCGCCCATGGGACGATCGCCGCTGCTACTGCTGTGCATAGTGGGATCGTAGCTGCTGCTGCTAAGTGACTGAATTTCCGCGTAGACTGCTGTTGTTAGTTGCGAGTGCCGCGATTTTCACTCATGTTGCTAGATATGACGAGATGAGTTTGCCGTCACTGCTAACGCAACCGGTGATACGATTGTTGCTCACGTTGCTTATTTGTGTGTGTGACAGGATCGCCACCACCGCTGTTGCTGCTGTGGGTAACGAGTTCCTGTTGCTTGCTGCGGCGGCAGCGTAGGGTGAGATTGCATCAGTTGCTACTACAGGTGACAAGTTTCTGCAGCTGCCGCAGTTACGAATGTCAACAATTTTAACTGGTACGGAGCAGATTAGAGCCCAACGGACGACATGGAATGGCGGGGATTCGTATTACTGGAGCCTGGCTCCCTGGCTCCTGCGCCTTCAGGTCCACAGTGAACAGAGGTCACCTACAGTATTTGTGAGTGGAGCAACGGATGGGAAGCGGGAAAATCAAGGGAGCCCAGCCGAGCATCGAAGACCACGACAACGGGCGCACAACAAATCTGCTTGACTCGGAGAATACCCGTATCGGATAGAGAAACATCCCTTCCGATTCGGCTACACAACCTCTAAAATTCAAACTAAGTTCAACATGTTACTAGCCTTTTAGAGTCCTGTGCTACTAGTGTGTATGGCATGATGCTGATGATGCTGATGAGTGAATGAAGGAATATAACACTATATTTATTGCAAGAGCACATACCCCCCTAGATCCACGGTGTCTAATAACACACACTGTTAAGAGGGTGAAATAAAGGCACCCTGACTTGTCAGAGTAAAAAACTCCAAAACGTAGGGTTACCCTAATGCCTCAGGGTAAGTGTGGAGGATCACTCTGGTTTTCAGAGTAGTGGGGAAAGTAACTTCCAGATTTCAGAGTAGTGAAAATCCTAAGATCAGCACTGGTTGACACCCTCTCCTTCCGTTTCGCTTCCCCCCTCCCCTCCATTTCGATTCCCCCTTCCCCTCCGTTTTGCTTCTCCCATTCCTCACTACTGTATTTCGACCCCCCCCCACCCCCACCCCCCCCCCTTTCCCTCCCCGTTTCGCTTCCACTCTTCCCCTATGTTTCCATACTCCCCCTGTCAAACATGTGTATTTGTCATGTTTGTATAGACTGTATAGAGTCACCTCTTAGAGGATACAAAACTTAGATATATTTGTGTGTACTCTCACTTTACCATTATTCAATTATTCTGATATGGTATCACGCGTAGGTAGGATCCCCCCCCCCCACCTACCGCTTCCGCTCATGCCCCCTAGCGCCCCTCCTGGGCCCCGTCGCGCTCCTCCCAGGCCCCGTCGCGCTCCTCCCAGGCCCCCTAGCGCCCCTCCTGGGCCCCATCGCGCTCCTCCCAGGCCCCGTAGCGCCCCTCCTGGGCTTCGTAGCGCCCCTGCCAGGCCCCGTCGCGCCCCTCCTGGGCTTCGTAGCGCCCCTGCCAGGCCCCGTCGCGCCCCTCCCAGGCCCCGTCGCGCTCCTCCCACGCCCACTAGCGCCCCTCCTGGGCCCCGTCGCGCTCCTCCCAGGTCCCGTAGCGCCCCGTCGCGCCCCTCCTGGGCCCCGTAGCGCCCCTCCTGGGCCTCGTCGCGCCCCTCCTGGGCTTCGTAGCGCCCCTCCTGGGCCCTGTACCGCCCTCCCAGGACCCGTCGCGCCCCTCCCAGGCCCCGTCGCGCCCCTCCCAGTCCCTCTAGCGCCCCTCCTGGGCCCCGTCGCGCTCCTCCCAGGCCCCGTAGCGCCCCGTCGCGCCCCTCCTGGGCCCCGTAGCGCCCCTCCTGGGCCTCGTCGCGCCTCTCCTGGGCTTCGTAGCGCCCCTCCTGGGCCCTGTAACGCCCTCCCAGGCCCCGTCGCGCCCCTCCCAGGCCCCGTCGCGCTCCTCCCAGGCCCCCTAGCGCCCCTCCTGGGCCCCGTCGCGCTCCTCCCAGGCCTCGTAGCGCCCCTCCTGAGCTCTTTCGCGCCCCTCCTGGGCTCCGTAGCGCCCCTCCTGGGCCCCGTCGCGCCCCTCCTGGGCCCCGTAGCGCCCCTCCTGGGCCCCGTCGCGCCCTCCTTGGGCCTTGTAGCGCCCCTCCTGGGCCCCGTCGCGCCCCTCCCAGGCCCCGTCGCGCCCCTCCCAGGCCCCGTAGCGCCCCTCCTGGGCCTCATCGCGCCCCTCCTGGGCTTCGTAGCGCCTCTCCTGGGCCCCCCGTCGTGCCCCTCCTGGGCCCCGTAGCGCCCCTCCTCGGCCGCGTCGTACCCATCGCCGCCGCCCGGCCCCGTCGTGCCCGCCCGGCGCCGTCGCGCCCGCCCGACCCCGTCGCCGCCGCCCGGCCCCGTCGCGCCCGCCCGGCGCCGTCGCCGCCGCCCGGCCCCGTCGCGCCCGCCCGGCGCCGTCGCACCCTGCCCGGCCCGTCGCGCTCGCCCGGCCCCATCGCAGCCGCCCGGCCCCGTCGCACCCGCCCGGCCCCGTCGCACCCTGCCCGGCCCCGTCACAGCCGCCCGGCCCCGTCGCACCAGCCCGGCCGCCGTCCCGCTCGCCCGGCCCCGTCGCACCGGCCCGGCCCTGCCGCACTCGCCCGGCCCCGTCGCCCCAGCCCGGCCCCGTCGCGCCCGCTCGGCCCCGTCGCCCCGTCCCGGCCCTGTCGCATCAGCCCGGCCCCGTCGCGCCCGCCCGGCCCCGTCGGGCCAGCCCCGGCCCCGTCCTCCTCACTGGTACGGTTCCCCCCCCCCCCCCCACCCCGCCCTGCTCCGTGCCGCCCTGCACCGCACTGCACCGCCCTGCACCGCACTGTACCGCACTGCACCGCACTGCACCGCACTGCACCGCACTGTACCGCACAGTACCGCACTGCACCGCACTGCACCGCACTGTATCGCGCTGCACCGCACCCCACCTAGCTGCACCGCCCTGCACAGCACTGGACTGTTCCTGATGGCGGCGGAGCTTCGCTTCGACGCTGAAGGTCAGCCCCTAGAGTTCGAGGCGTGGCTTGCCGACCTCCGCCGCCAACTCACTGGCCAGCGGCAGGATGGTGAACCGCTTTCCGCACACCTTGACGGTACGCTCCCCTGCCCAGACCCTCCTGCTATTCTGCCCGCTGACCCCACACCCACTGAGCGTGAGTCTACTGCTGCCACTGCCCGTGCGCGCTCTGTCTGGCTTTCTCGCGATGCTGTCGCCCAGCTTGCCATTAGCAACGCCCTCCCCCCGTCCGAGCGTCCTCGCTTTAGGTCCCTCACTACTGCTCAGGCATACTTAGATGCTGTCATCAAGCGCTATTCCACCCCTCCGGCTGCCTCGGTGGGTCGCCTGATCCTCCCGCTGCTCTTTCCTGACCTTGCTTCGTTCCCCACTGTCTCTGACCTCGCTGCCCACCTGCGCTCGATAGAGGAGACCTGGCGCGCCGCATGCACTGACGCACAGCTTAGAGCCCACCAGCCGCCCATTACCTCTACCCTCTACCTGCTTGCCACCCGCCTCCCTGACCGCCTTGCTGTCGCCCGCGACCGCTTCCTTAGTGTTCATCCCGCAGACCTCACCCTCACTGACTTTGTCGACACCCTGACTGTGATAGAGACCCGTCACCGCTCCATCGCCCAGGCGAGCGGTGTCGTGCCGGTCCCTATCTTTCAGGGTTGTGCCCCCGCTCAGTGTACCTTCTCCGACGGCTCTGTCGGCTTCGCCGTGCCCCTCACTCCTCCTCGTTCCCCCCTACCGCCGCGCCGCTGCAGACCCTGCACCTGGACGTCTGGGGCCCCGCCCCCGTCCCTGGGCCGCGTCGCGAGCGCTACTTCCTTGTGCTTGTCGACGACTTCACTCGTTACACCACAGTCTTTCCCCTGGAGCGCAAGGCCGACGTGCCTGGCGCCCTCATCCCCTGGCTTGTCTCTGCGCGTGTCCACCGCGGTCTCCCTGTCTTGCGTCTTCACTCAGACCGTGGTGGCGAGTTTGCCTCAGGTGTCCTTGGTCGCTTTTGTCGTGCGGAGGGCATCACCCAGACGTTCACCCTACCGGACTCCCCACAGCAGAATGGGGTCGCTGAGCGACGCATCGGCTTGGTCATGGAGGTCGCTCGCACCTCCATGGTCCATGCCGGTGCACCCCATTTTCTGTGGCCGTTCGCTGTGCGCTACGCTTCTCACCAGCTTAACCTGTGGCCGCACGCTCAGCAGCCGCAGGTTTCGCCGACCCGTCTGTGGACTGGGTCTCCTGGTGACGCGTCTGCGTTCCACGTCTGGGGCTGCCTTGCTCACGTCCGTGCCTCCGGCACGGACAAGCTCCGTTTCGCTCTCCCCCTCTCCTCGGTTTGATTCCCTCCCGTTTTTCCCCCCATTTTTAATTCATCCCTCGTGTTGAAGGCAACCCTGAACGCGTTCGGTGATCTCTGGGATGATCAGGGTTCCAGATTTCTGAACATTTACAAATCAGGGTAGGCATTTTTTGAAAACTGAGCCCTCGGTAAATTTGTGTTTTTAGTCGACAGCTCAGGGTGGGTTTTTTTGAAACGTCAGGCCTGGTCTATATACCCCCGTATCCTTCTATTCTACTCAACTACTACTCATCTTGATATACTTAACAAGCAAATGCTAGAACAAGCCACAACCATCTGCTGAGCCACAGGCTTTAATTTGTGCCAAGAAATACAATGAATAGCTTTCCAGCGTGCAATGCAATCCACAAGTTGTCCAAGAGCGTGGCATTCCACGCGGGCGTTCTTCTTGCCATTTGCCTCTCACCACCGCGTTCTTTACCCATCTCCATCTCTCTGCTCCTCGTTCTTCTGCAGCAGCATGAGCGCCCTGTCCACCATGCCCCCTGGCTCCAGCAGTGGCATCAGCGCCCCCACGGGAACCAAGCATAGCTGCCTCCGCTGCATCTCCTCTCCTACTCGCCGCCACCCCGACACCCTACCTCCTGCACACCTACTATCCCTCCCACCACCTCTCCGCTCCAACTCTGCCCCACTCTCTCTCAGTGGTGCCCATGCCTGACGTTGCTGTGCCTTGCCCACCCACCCAGCAGTGGTGGTGGAGGCAAGCGGCAGCGCTGCAGTGGGGAAGGCGGTGTGGATGCGAGGCATGTGGGTGGGAAGAGTGGAGGGGCGGGAGAAGAGCATGCCTGTGCTGGCAGCAGTTGAGCAGGAGCTTTGGTTGACGTGCAGAGAGGCTGTGAGGTCCTGCAAGGCAGCGCAAGGGAAGTGTAGCAGGCGGCACCTGAGACCCTGCAGCAGGCAGTACCATGCATGGAGTGGAATTGCAGTGCAGGCAAGAAAGAGCATGGCACCGCGTGGGTGGCTCACCGCGACCTGGCGCTGCAGGAAGTGCACGTACTGCACCGCCTCCTCCAGAAAGCTCTCTGTTGTCATGCACCCCGCCCCCGGCACCAGCGCCTGCAGCTGCCTCATGCGTGAATTCATGCGCTCCCTGCGGGCCTGCCATGGCAAGGGGGGGCACGCCGTGAGGTCACATGGCACGACTAGCTGCACTACAAGCACGCCCATGCCGTGCACTGCCAATCCATGCCCTGCATGCCTCCCAGGTGTGCACGTGTCAAGACCTACTCTGGCTTGCATGGCTTGTCCCTCCGTGCCTGCTCCCGTTGTCCGCCTTCCATCCGCTCCCCCCACGTGCCATACTGAAGTGCTCACTGCACCGTTTTCACCCCTCGGACCCACTCCCCCCCCTTGCCTGGAGCACTCTCCCTCCCTACCGCAGCCACTTCCTGCACCGCTGCTGCTCTCTCTGCTGCCACCTCTGCCCGCCTCTGCTCCTGCTGCTCGCCCCCCAGCCGTGCTGGCCTCTGACCGCCCTGCTGCCATCCCTCCAGATGCCA